CCCCCCCCCCCCCCCCCCACCGCTGGTACCGCCACTGAAGCTTAAGCCTGGGTCGGTGAGAGGGATGAAAATTCGATGCTGGGGGTAAAGCACCTCAATATTGACCTGATTCTGGCCTTAGACGCTACACCATACTGATGTATCTTGTATATTGTTCATAACATCTAACTGTTATGGATTGGTTGATATTGCACGTTCTGGGCCAACTAAACTCGTAACCCCAGATGAACTCAGTGAACTGATTAACTGCAAAACATCAAATTGAGGGGAGATTCATTTCCTTCAATTCTATTTTTAATCCATAAATGCCATTGTCTTACGATAAGTTAAAATCTTAAGATAAAGTTAAAACTGTCACAAAGTAGTCCTAAAGAATTAACCCGAAAAAAACAATAGGTAAAAAAGTCCTAAATAAAGATTAAGACTTACATGTTATGCTTGTAATCTTCACCGAATTTAAGATTTTTATTAAATCTCTCAACATATTATATCTTAGCTAAATCTGTTAACTATAACGTTAGTCATGGCTCGAAATCTAAAGTCATTCAAACTTGCTTGAGACGTTATAATCCTACCAAACGTTATCTTATCACGCCAAAACGTCGAGTTCGCTCTCCCAATGTAATCGACCGTCCAGCCAACCAGGCTTTGGCGTTTTAACAAACATCGTTATCGAAAATTGAAGAAATTAGCGCTTTCTTCCTCATCCTAATACCCAATATAAATTAAAATCCAAATTTCACTACCATTTTAATAGGAATCTTCCCTCAAGGAGGACTGCATCAAGTTAGCTTGCTGTGATATTTCGATGGAGTGTATTCTAACTAGTATGTAATATTGAATGATAATGCATTAAGATCTCGCATTTGGAGTCAATTGTTTACCATAATTGCTATTCTTTGGAACTATATCAACTTCAAAATGGGGTTTCTGAAGGTAATTTCAACTTTTATTTAACTATTTAACTGTATATCTTTAAAGTGAATGAAGGTGTCGTTTTACATGCTAAACTGTTGAATGTGACACTAACATGTGACAATCCATCTTGACAATGTCTAGCTATTCCGAACTTCGTCTTATACCTTAACTGCAGTAGCCACCTTCCTTGTGTCACAGAAGGTTGTAAATGCCGCCATTTGGTTGAAATGTACACAAAGGAATATAGACAATCAGAGGCCTCAACATACAGTCAATACAATAAGCTCGTAATAGCTTGAGATTGTGACGATGGTGACAATCCATAGACTGGAAGTCTTTATATTAATGATACATTCTTTTTTATGAGAATTAGTCGTTATAGTTTAAGATTTGGAATGGCATAAGCAGTATAAATCTAAATATCTGGCATTGCAATTGTCAACTTAGATTTTAAATTCATAATACGTATATTATATAATTGGCTTCAATAACGCGCCACTTAACGATATTTCTGCACTTTCATAATGAAGAACATTTATAATTGATATAATTCATGATATGAATAGTTCATTTGCTTCAACCAATGTATTGTTAAACTATTATTTTGTATTCAGAGTTTGTTTAGTTATATAACTTTGAACAAAAGTTTTTTCTCAAGTACGTCATCTTATCGCTTGGCTGTGATTGTCTATCCGACAAGCCTATGTTCTTGTCTTTACATTTATATGTAAAATTGCATGCTGTCTCATTAACAGGTTATTGTACCAATGGTATTTTGTATTATAATGGTATTGTTACTAACAGTAGAAAAAGTAACTTTTATCTGGTTGTTGAGATCTTTACGACATCCAGATGTTGCTGTGGAAGCTGGGTAAGATTTTAATCAACCTTTTGTTGAAGAAATTGACTTATTAATGAACAAATAAAGAAATTATTACCATTATTTTTATTATTATTATTATAAAACAAGATAACAGAAAAGATAGTACAATGACATGCAGGAAGCAAGTGGTAATATCAACCTCAGTAGCGTTATTTCAGACCAGAGAACAAAGCGCTCACTTAGGAGGTAGTCGTTTAAAGAAATGCAAGTTATAAGAATATAATTATTGTTGCGGTACGGGGAGGAAATTTTATTGTTGATAACAGAAAATTGGAGTTTCCCAAGAATGTCATCTCAATATCAATCTAATTAACAATATTTTACTATTTCGTTGCTCTAACTAATAAAATAATTTTTCTTGTGCGTTGCGTTCTAATGACATTATTTTCAACAAATCAATAGGACACGTTTATTGATAACAATGACGTATTGTGTAATATCGGTTCGTCTGCACTACAATTCCCACAATTTGTCATTCTATGTATTTAGAAACAGGTCCTACAATTTTAATTAGATTGTCTCGTTACCCACTGAGCTGTTTTGGGAAACTTGTGTTCAATTTTGTATTCTATTTATAGTTATCTAGCAGTAGGCAGCGTTATTCTGGTCCCATATTTAATGTCATTACTTCTGATGTTGTGGAACATATCATTTCTTACTGCTGTTAAAGAAACGCAGCTACCTCCATTTCATAATCTATTATTGGTAAGTTTTTCAAAATTAAATATGTCTCACAATGAATAATTGAGGAATTTAATTCAGATGCGACTAAAAGGTCAATAATGTAGATGCTTTGAGAAAACGCATCTTTATAGGCTATAGCATGCCTTCTAAAGTTAATTTAAAAGGAAACATCTTTACCAAGTAAATTTTCCTACATTTTGCATTTTCTTATCACAGGGTATAGGAACATCAGCAATCGAGAGCGCAGCAGTAGTGTTCTTTACAACCATAGTAGCTGTTGATCTTCCGGTCTTTATACTACTTCCGGTCATGGGTGGTGTGCTGTCAGTTTCATTGTTGTCTGACGCAACAGGATGTCATTCAAAGGTATGTTTTCTCTTTTATCGTATTTTCAAAGTCTGTTGTCTGTACATTTGTCTGAATATACTATAACTTATCCCCGTCAATTGATGGGGTTATGTCCCTTGAAATACAACCGCATTATTAAAATTTACATAACAAGATCAGGCCAGGGGCACCTTTGGTGTCGTCAAATTCTTTTATCTTTTGTCGTGTCTTATCCTAACTAATCCTCAAAGAAATGGAGTAATGTCCAATGAAGTACAACTCTCGTTGTTCCTGTTTACATAACAAGATCTGTGTCGCAACTGTTTTATCTGTTTTCAGACGATCGACATAAACGTAGAAACAAAATATTGTGGTAAAGTCAGTAAAATTGGTGGATTGGTATCAACAGCTGCGCCATCAGTGGTTGGTTTAGTTCTGTATCTGTATGGTGAATTCACATGGTTACAGGCCTTAACTCTGGGACTCTCTGTTGCTGCCTTAGCTATTGTGTGGTCGCCATGGGTACGGATTCGAACTCTAACCACCAATGACACGTTTTCTCATAGTGAAAGACGGATCCATTTATTTTACGGAGTTATCAAAGTAGTTTGTATCGTTCTGTTTCTAGTTAGCGAAGTTTGGTTCACCAGACATGCAGACGACACACTGGATACAATTTTAATCAACTTCAATCAACATTGGAGAGAACTATTCACCTTAAAGCTGAGCGTTCCGTTAGCAAGCAATCTTCTGTCTGCTTTAATAGCTCATGCGTTTGCTTATCTGTCTATAGCCTACTGTTTACCAGTTCTTGGAATCGTTGTTCCTACTCTTGTGTCCACTCCAATCACCATTGGTTTATGTTCCACTGTTCTTTCGACAATGATATATGCCGTTGACGAGTTCAGCGAATTTGGAAAATTGCTTCCCCTTCTGGTCGCTACTGGTATTTCCGTTCTAGGTTGGGTTGTTCCCTATATTATTAACATTTCCGAACTTTCTAAAAAACCGAAATTCTTATACATACCGTATGAGACAATGTTTCTGTCTTACGGTTGGAATAACATGTTCTTTGACCAGCATCTGCTTCTGTCGTTTAAACATGACGGTTTTAGTCGAGTGATGGAGGAGGCTATTATTACTACGGGCAAAAAGAGTCGAGTGTTTGTATGTACCACGATGTATCGTGAGGCCGATTATGAAATGGAACGCTTGTTGTTAAGTTTACAGAGATTGTCACAATCTTTGAAAATGAAGGAAAAGAACGTACAGTTGGAAGCGAACATATTCATGGACAACGGATGTAGTGGAAGAGATATCAAAGAATTTGCTCAACAACTAATTGGATTACTGATAGCAAAATTCAGTCTAGATGTGAGTCAGGCCCAGTGTTTTGAAACACCATACGGGGTGCAGCTAAGATGCGTTCTGGATGGTGGTATGCCTCTCTTCGTCCACCTAAAAGATCCAGTAAAAGTAAAACCGAAGAAGCGTTGGAGTCAATGCATGTATATCAACTATGTTCTGAATTATAAGAGCCCTACGGCAAATGGAAGAAAGTATGTCGGACTGGGAACAAGCATTACTAAAGAGGAGCTAAAACCAGATAAGGACCTTCTTAGAAAATTGGCTACAGTAGAATACTCTCCTTATCCGGAATACAACATGGACGAGGACCAAGGTTTCGTTTCAAGGGACATAACTCCTGCATTGAGTCACAGTAGTTCAGCCGCCATATTGGAAACGGAATCTGTGTCCGCAAAAGAAACTGATGACTCTGCATCTTCTTCAACTGGTGCCGATATTACTGACCCATTTCCGGGTGCAGCGAATCTTGGATTCGTTTTTGACGAGGATCAACAGGGCGCGGGAGCGACTCCAGAAGATCTTAAAACTGGCCGTTTCTCTTTTAAAATAGACAGCGTGAAGAAAGACGAGGGTGATCCGTGGTCAACCTCAGACAACAGGGAACATAACATTCAGATGGAATTCGACGATGAAGTCGATGATGATCATACATATATCTTAGCTACAGATGCCGACATGGATTTCGAAGATGATGCCGTTCTGGAGTTACTACACATGTGCAATAGCGACCATCGTCTGGGAGGCGCATGTGGAAGAACCCATCCCATGGGGAAAAATTGTAGCTCCATCGTCTGGCATCAGATCTTTGAATACGCTAAAGGTACATTAAGCAGTGACAATGGTCACATATAAGTCAAACCTACTTGTACATATTCTGTGCCCTAATGCAGTTTGAGCTGCCTAATTATGGAAATCATTGAATATATGTAAATAATCTTCAGTCTATAAAGTATTTTCTTTATTTGTCGGAGTATCAAGAAAGAGTCTTTATTTAAACTTTCAAACGAAGGCTTAAATTTAAGCTGTGGACACTTAACTTACGATTGGCCAAACGGATCCCTTTAAATGCTAGTAGTTCTCAAACGTAACAACAAAGTGGATGTCCAAGACTCTGGTTGTGTCAGAAGGTCTGAATAAACAAAAGAACAACTCTAATCAATACACTGTGAGATTCAGTATTATCGCTTTCATTTCAGATTTTTGGATGATTAAGAATGCCCAGAATGTGATAGGATCGGTGATGTGTGCCCCAGGATGTTTCAGTCTGTACAGAGTTAGTGCTATTAAACATGTTATGGATGAATACGCCAGTCCTACACTGACACCTTTCACCGTTTATGTCAAGGACACAGGTAAGATTTCTTTGAAGGTCAACCTGCTTGGGTTCACAGGGATGAGCCCAGTTACCAATCCGGAAATGCTCCCAATCTTGAGGCATACTATGATCACTTCAAACTTTTGTTTCAAACTACATGTAGTAGTAATCAGATAGTTCAACTCCCACTATCCAATGATGTTGAGTATTTGGACGCACCTTTCTCTGAGAGTGAACTACGCCGAGCAAACCTCAAACTTAAAACAGGCAAAAGTCCTGGGGTCGATGGTATAACCCCTGAGGTCATTAAGTTTAATATTGATATCCTTTGTCCGTCTCTTTGCATTTATTTTAATTCGATATTCAATAGTGGATTTTATCCTAATGGTTGGTCAAAGTGTGCCATAGTACCAGTTCCAAAAAAGGGAGACTCTAGGGATGTTAATAATTATAGGGGTATCACATTAATGTGCACCCTTGGAAAATTGTTTTCTATAGTTGTAAATGATAGGTTGTTCTCATGGTTAACTGAAAACAAAAAGTTATCTGTCTTCCAGTTTGGATTTCAGCCTAACAAGAGCACTGTCGACTGTATTTTCATTTTACAGGCTCTGATCTCAAAATATTTATCAAATGGTGAGAGATTATATGTAGCCTTTATTGATTTTACCAAGGCTTTTGATAAAGTTGACAGAAACTTACTTCTTCTCAAATTACACCAAATTGGACTTGGTCAAAAGTTAATCATGTGTATCAAGTCTATGTATCACAATGTTCAGTTATGTGTCAAATCAAAAAATGCATACTCAAAATATTTCTCTTCAAATTGTGGAGTAAAACAAGGCGACAATCTCTCACCATTGCTTTTTCTCTTGTATGTAAATGACCTGTGTGATTTCTTAAGTGAACATGTTATTGATCCGGTTACAATAGGACAAATAGTTTTGTCATCCTTTATGTATGCCGATGACACGGTCTTGTTATCAAAGTCTGAAAAAGGTTTACAAGACCAACTCTCACGGCTTCAGCAATACTGTGAAACATGGAATCTCTCCGTTAATGTAAGCAAAACGAAGGTTGTAGTATTCCAAAAGGGATCTCAAGAACCTTATCAATATAAATTCACATATAACGACATCCCTGTAGAATGTGTCACAAGATTCACATATCTAGGAATTGTTTTTAGCTCCAATGGAAAGTTTGATTCCCTGCAGAAATGTCTTGCTCAAAAGGGTAATATAGGCCTTCACCAATTAAACTGTGTTCTTGATAGGGTAAACCTTGATTGTAGACAACAGTGTAAGCTCTTCGATTGCTTCGTAGAGTCAATATTATCTTACGCAGCCCCCGTGTGGGGTTTCCTTAAGGCAAATGACATAGAAAACTTACATTTACGTTTCTGCAAATGACTACTGCAGGTTAAAAAATCCACAGTGACAAGTGCAACTTATGGAGAGTTAGGTCGTTTTCCTTTGCGTATCAGCAGATTGCAAAATATTGTGAAGTATTGGATACGCATCTTGTCAGATCAAGGTAGCCTCCTTTATCACGTTTACTTATATAGCAGTATCAATCCTCGTGCTAGGTTCCGCAATTGGGCTGCTCAGGTAAAACAACTTCTGGATAACCTAGGATGCTCTGACATCTGGTATGCCCAGTTTTTTCAGATCCCATATCTCGACATATTAAGCCAACGTATTAAAGACCGGTTACAGTCTTGGAATACATCTCGACTATCTTCATCTAAGTTAGACAAATACAACCTGTTTAAACACTCTTTTTGTTTTGAAGATTACTTACGTTATGTCACTATCCCGAAATATCGAGTAGCTCTTACTAAATTAAGATGTTCGTCACACACTCTAGGTGTTGAAACTGGGAGATATAAAAAGTTAATTAGATCCTCAAGAATATGTTCGAACTGTACTAGAAATGAGGTGGATGATGAGTATCATTTCACTCTGATTTGCCCAAAACATGCTTCTTTAAGAGAACTTTATATACCAAGATACTATTATGAATTTCCGACCATTATTAAGTTTGTAACTCTCATGTCAAGTAATTCCACAGATCTGTTATGGAATTTATCCAAATTTGTTTTTCATGCTATGAAATGATCTTCAATTGTTTTTGATGACTGTATTGTATATATGTTGTGGTGTAAAAGTCTTACTGACTTAATACCTATAATAAATTATTATTATTATTATTATTATTGTAATATAAAGAAAATGTGTCCTCATTTCTCACCCACACATAAAAACAATCCAAAAGCAACTCATTACTGATACTATAGTGTATATAAACAAAAGATTCCATTACTTAAGGCCAGTTCATCCTTCGTCAAAGCTGTTATCTTAGCAGTTGCAAATTTGAGTTCAGTTGATAGTTTGTGTCTTGTATGTTAAGTATCAATGTATTTTAAGCACCAAAACTTAACAGGTACTATTTCGTCCATTTGATCTGCTCTATATAATTCCAGGAGAAGACAGATGGATGGCAACCTTGATGATGATAAACGGATGGCGACTACGATTCTCAGCATTTGCTGATAACACGACCTATTGTCCCGATACTTTCGAAGAGTTCTTCAAACAAAGACGACGATGGATTTTATCAGATATTGCAAATGCTCTTTTGGTGGTCCAGAACATGCTATCTCTGATCCGAAACAACGACTGCTTCACCTTTGTATACGTTTCATACCTTTTAAATATGTTCATCAATAACGTAATTACTCCCGGAACGGCTATCGTGATGATCACAGCTGGTTTAGAACTGGTATTTGACGTACCCTATATTACTACTACAGCTCCTATGGCCGGGATTGTCCTGATGTACGCAATAGTGTGTATAAAATGTAGCGCCAAGACTCAGACACGTCTAACGTCTGCTTTAACTGTCCTAATGGGAGGAGTGTTTGTATCGGTGGCTGTCTGGGGTTCCTATAAGATTGTAGCCTCCATGATACATGGTAAGTCTTGAGGTCAACTTTGTGTAAACGTCAAATGCAAATGACTCATATCGGCCACAAAATGGTTGATAACTATATAAAAGTTTTAACAATAAAAGCATGAAAAAGAAGCAAGTTGCTTTACCTTCCCTCTGCATCGTGTACCTTCCATACATTTGCCTTGAATGAATTGAGGCCATGTTATGATCAACTGTATAATATTGGAATACAAAATTTTGGATTGGTGGATTGGGATTTTATTACTTATGTATACATACACGTATGAAATTTCTTTTTTGTAACACCTTATTCGGATTCTATTGCAGAGGTTTTGGTTGGCCACTTCCGATTTCAACAGCATTACGTCATATTAATGTTGACAGCCAGTTTGATATATGCAGCTCTCGTACATCCTCGTGAGAGTTACCAGGTGGTATATGGTCTTGCCTATTTGTTTATATTTCCCGCCATGCACGTGCTACTACCGATCTACAGTATAGCAAATATCATTGATCAAAGCTGGGGAACCAGAGATTCGGTAAATTGGCCTTTCTTATTTGAAATTCTAATGTTAGTAAAAGCAAACAAAAACGGTGGGTTGGGTCCGTTTACTATCCTATTACATACCATAGTTCAAAATCTCTTGAAGATGGAAGTATCTGATATTACGACCAGCGTATCCATTCAGTCTATATTTATTATATGAATCAAGAGAAGACAAACAGAAGGATCTACACCTATCGCGTTGCCGTGGAATCTGTAGAAAATGCCAAAAAGCATCATGCTTATCTAGAAATCCAATAGCCCTTTACTGAGATCTCCTATCTGGATAGCCATGCCAACAAGACGTATTATTTATGCATGTATATACGTTGTATATTAAAATGTCTCACTAACTTTGTATTATTTCAGCAAGTGGCAAAAGTGCCGAAGTTTGCCTGTTTAACTGGTTTTAAGAAAAGAAGATGGAGAAAGAAGAAAGACAGGCAGAACAGCAATAAAGGTAAATTAAGTCAATTGATGGATTAAATCAAAGCTGTCTTTGGCATAGAAGTCTTAGGGTGGGCTGAGCAGACCTGAGGTCATTCTGCAACCTCTGAGATTTAGCTCATGAGTCCAACCAAATAATAAATATTTTCGTAGGTGTAATTATTGACCAATTTATTGAGCACCCCGGCTGTTTCTCTGGTTCATTTCTTCATACAGACCTCATCCACTGAAATACATTGGCAAATTATCAGCGAAAAATTGTGTAAATAAACAAAAAACAGATCGGCCTTTTCGTACGACGAATAGAGATCAGCAAACAATGTAGTTTGATGACTTAGATCTGTGGTTTAACATTTAGAGAACCTGATTGGCTGGATCATGATTGGCTGATTGGATGACTTCTCTTTGTATATTTCAGAAACACATGAAGGTATCCATGAAGCTGTGAAAGGGAACACTCGAGATATCACAGACGGAAGTGAAGAAGATCGAACGGAAGAAATGTTCTGGAATGATTTACGGGAACGCTTACTCGGTAATGATACGAATATTGGCTTACAAAAAACCGAACTTGCAGAACGCTTACGGACTTTACGGAACCGAAGTTTATCGGGTGTGCTGATAGTCAACGCCTTGTGGTTATCGCTGCTCTCGTTCTTCTACATGGGAGTTGATTCTCCATTGTCCAGACTCAATGTGTACGGTGTAATCAGTGGGGCCCTGTATGGGTTTACTCTGATTATACAAGTATTTGGTCTGACTGTATGCAGGGTAGACTATTTATTACAGTGGTTTGCTAGATATATGTATGGCGATGAAAGGCAAATGTGGGTTAGTGCAAGGAAGAAAAAGAATTGAAACCGGTACCACTAGGTTTTGTCTGTTGTCGTACTGTAAAATAAAGAAGCCTACTATAACCATGTAGCCGCTTTACTAGCAATTAGATATCGGTTAGTTTTTTGTGAAACAAAAGCAAATAAGACGAATGTATCTCTCTAAAGAGCGAGTCGAGTTTGTCGATTGATCTGAAAAGTTGAATCCATATTTGGTGTCATATAATAGGTCGGTCAGGTATTACGTAACGTAACGTACTATATAATCTGTATGTAAAATAAAAAAAAAATATCGCCTCCGATGTCACTTAATGAGCAATGTCTACTGTCTAGCCTTATATGTACATACATAAAAAATGAAATAAAACAGAAATGAGATACCGACCTCTATCCTCTGACTGCTTTTTAAAAAAAAAAAAAAAAAAAAACCAACAGATCACAACTATATGCCAATCAGCACTCAAAAATATGTTTATGCATCAAATTATACATTAAAATCTTTGACATTTTATTTAAGTTGGAAGCTGATTTCCAGGTTATGAAGCTTGACAATGTTGTAATGGTAGATATTATATAATCGTATCATAGTTTCGGGTACCGCACTCGAGTACTTTCTTACATTATCACCTGACTCCATCTTACTTTGGTTTTGTTCCGCGTTAATATCAATTCTAAATTGCAACTTGTTTTGAGATGTTTATGGTGCTTTCAAAAATATTTGCGAGATTTCTTCACACTCCGACTCTCTGAAATTAATGAAATATTACCTCCCTTGAACCTGGAACAATTTACCAACTTCATTCTTTTGAAGACCTGGGATGAGATAAAATGTCGATTAGGGCCTCAGGATAGCGATTTGTCTATGTTTGTCAATATCAGGCTGTTGATAAGAATATGCAATAAAAAGTGGTAAATGTGTAGAAAATATCCTGGTCACCGGAAGGCTGAAGCTGTATTTATATATCGAATGGTTTGAGATTGCCTTAAAACTCCACACAGCTGCATGGTTTATTAGTTTTCACACTGAACAAAACGATTATTGCGATTGTCAAGTCCAATTATAGAACTTTGAATGTAATTAGTTTATAAAATATGATAGATATTAACAATAATCATATAAATGATATACTGGGAGCTATTATTCTCAGTTCGATGCCTTGGGGTGGATTGGTAGGTCGGACAAGTACTTGCTAACCAAACAGTCAAGAATTCTAAAACTTCGAATTTCGAATTGGAAAATAAACTGAGGCCTCGTCGAGATATACGTCGAGAGATGAAAACGGGAGAACATAGAAGTTTACTTATTCTTCTGTCCAGGCAAAATTTCGCACATTGCACACTGCATCTTAATTAGCTCAATTAAATGGAAATCAACGGTAAAACTTACAGTTCATATCCAGCTAGGGTGTAATAAATTAGATTGATGCTGTTGTAAGGCGGAGTTCCCGGATGAATCGTATGGTTATTCTAAATGTCAATATTTCGTTTACATTGTTTTACTCATTTAAGGTCTAGTCCTATTAGGTTTATTTTTCATTTTTAGGATAGTCAGCCGCATTAATACTCTCATAAAGCTTTGGAATAATATACCAGAATATATTAGTGCGACAAATCTGGCCCTATCTGTTCCTTATACGTGATATAAGATTCGATAAGCAGCTACTATATACATAGTAAAGGGAATTGTAAAGAGGTTTTCTAGATAAATTATGTGTATGTTATTAAAGAGATCCAATATGGTTGTAAACTACGTTCATGGGTGTTATTTTTATGTAAGAACCATACGTAGATTCGTATGCTACTATTTCATATAACATGAGTAGTATAGATCAATATCTGACTTCATTCGATCTTTTCAGTACGGTTCTCTGAGTAAATTGTTATTGTATAGAGCTTTATACTCCGCTATTATATGCTTTACAATTTTTTGCACCTAATTGGTCTGTATTCATTTTATTTACAATGTACACGTGAATCACTAACAAAAACAATGTGAGGTTTTAACACTATAATATGACCGATCAAATCAATCCTACCATTAAAGTTTTTCATAAAACAAACATAAAAACCAACCCTAGAAAACCGGAGTAAATTTTCTTACATTTCACTAAAAGCACTTTATATTTATTGCTCTGTGACATTTATTGGTTTTAGAGACTACTCGTTCGTGAAATCGTAAAATTTCAAATCTCTTCTAAATCGACTCAATTAATTGTAAATCTTGGTAAATTGTCGACCTTGTCTATAAAACTTCCCTTTTCTCTCCACCAAATAGTGATGCTTTAAAACAAGACGGATGTTCTGCATTATAAGCTGAGATCAAAGGCATTTGGAAAGTTCCATTCGGTTATATAAAGAAGTATATTTGTTTTGTACAATTTGTGAATACCGATCAATTCTTCACATGGGACCCTTACACGAACCTAATCATCATTTTACAGTGTTTAAAAGAAGTTTTTTGTTATTGTGTATCGGACACATTAATGCCTTGTAATTGCATCGTTCGGTATATGGAAAAACTACTAATATCTTAAGGCTTTTGCGATAGCTCGTTATAAAACGCTTATGTTGGATAGCATAATTGTCCGATGGCATCGACGACGATTTTTAACGCCGGCATATAAAAAATTTTCAGCCGATTATTTACGCCGTTCGCTGACAAAATTCACTCGTCTGTCAGTGATCGGACGTGATGTTCACATCATGGAATGTTCAAAATGGTTGATTACTCTATTTTGTACCGATCGACAAAAACATTCCACCGAGTGACATGCGCCCAAAAAAATGTACCCCTCCATGATTAGGCGTAAAAAATCGATAGACGTGAAAATATACGCTTCTTCTCCTAGCATATATAGGTTTTTTAAAACGAAAGTGTTAAGGAAAATTAGAATTATGTAAAGCGAATAGCCTTCATGGATTACAGATAATTGTTTCTATGTAGAAAAAATACGATTACCGGCTGGTAAATATATATTTAGACGAATGTATCCCTTCCATCTGACATAATTTTGCTAAATTTTAAAAATAATTCCATGTCCATGTAATAACATCTTAACTTACAACCTTTGCAGGATATGACCTTACATGCAGCATTTCAGGCATAACGTTCCAATATTTAAAAGTTGAATCAGGAAGCAGAAAGGTAATGGAATGGAAAGAAAAGCGAATGAACAAGAAGTTGATTTAAAGTTTGAATGTTTAGAAACCAGCTCATTTTAATGGTTCACGTTAAATCTTGGTCATAGAATCTTAAGTCAACTTCTAGTTACCATGGAAACTAGTTTCTAACTTCCGGTCAGAACTATATTCAGAAAGTGACAAAATAAAGAATCGGCGAAAATCATGTAATCTGGTCTAAGGTTCATTTGGAGTGTATTTAGATGAAAGAGCATGTTGTATGTGGACAATTTCATTCGCCCACGTCAAATTTCAAGACTAAATCAATTTGAAGAAGACCTACAGAGACAAACTGAAAATGAAATTGATCAAATCAGGTCCAGATCGACAAAGCAAACGATTTGTCGCTTTCTGTTTATAAGTGGATTTGAAAAGCAATTCGAGTGTGAGACATTATTCATTACTTGGACGGTCAGATGTTTTGAACATTACAAAATTGTGAATTGAATTCAACTAAATAAGCACTATTCTTAAACAATGTCATGTGAACTCAGCTTTGCAGGTTCAGAATATCAGATTTCATAAAGATATTCTAGAAAAGTAGTAATAAAAAAAATATACAAATTCTGCAAAAATTTTGATTTGGCTACAGATTAGGGCACAAAAACGCATCATTACGTAATGTTTACAATGCGCTTGTTGCTGTTTTTGGCGGTCACATAAAGGTTCCAATCATAGTGTGTACAGTGTATCTAAGGCTTACTGATATGTAATGAGCTGGCCATAGAATTTCGACGATGACTGTTAAAGATGCTATAATACGTTATATGAATATAAATTGTAAAACGAAGTAACCATAATGTTATTTATTTACATTACCGTCATGTTAGAGAGGTTGTAACGGTATATTTATACGAGAAACTGGACCTGATTTCAAAGTTAAAAATGATGAGGGATTTTCTCCAATTTCAAAACTTCCTCTAATTAACCAGATGTTTATCATTTTCAATTTCTAATTCAAATAAACACAGGTAGCAGTTCGCGAATAGTTAGCCCGATAAATCTGGTGCTGCTCGTTATTCGGACATGATGTAAGGATGGGATATCGGCTGTTTCCATGCTTTTCCCTTTCCAGACAACTCCGTTAGCCTACCTCTCTATATTGCGGTACCGTGTGGGTCAGATGGACATTGTAGAATATCCGTCAATGTCTTGATCGACTCTGTAATGTCCCAAATACCAAAAACGATGTCAAATTTGAACAACCTTGAATTAGTAAGATTAGTAGGTGTTCGCTTCCTGTCCACATATCCTTAATCATCACAACTGTTATAATTATAATTTTATAAACACAATATGAAGTTGACGGGTTGATCTAATTCCAGTCAATGTATAAAAAATCACAAGCCCGTTGACAGAAATATTTCAGGTTCTAAATATTTGATAGTGATACAATCCTACATCCCTCTTATGGTCACATCTATAGTGTCAAAGTATACAGCAGGAAGTTATATTGCCGGAAGTAAAAGTCTTATATAAAAATTACTATATAATCATGCTGCGTTCACACTGAAAGCCGATTTCCAGAAAGCGATCCCCAGAATTCGCTTTCATTATAGCACATTCATTTTGGTAGCGTCACACTACATTCCGAAGCGACTCGATTGTGGTACAAAACCCGTCACACTGACAGTGCTATAACCCAGCATAAACCAATGCACCCTCGACAACCTATGCCTTAAAACTTCTCATAGATGATGAAGGTCATTAATTCCAATATGGATGCGCACGTGAATCAATAGTAGGTTTTCCCCTTGCCGTAGAACGTTAGCGAGTGTGTATTGCACATGCCTGAAATGTGTGTTTTGTTTATAGCGCGATAACCGGTCAGAATCGCTGTCGGAA